CATAAAAAAATAGGCTCATTTGACGAAAAGTAAGGGTTGAAACTAGGATTACGTGTAAATTACCAATGTGTATATTAAGAAATAAATCTATATCCATATAAATGAAAATATAAACTTTTCATTGACCGACGTAATGCTAGCCCAAGGACATTTTTAAGAGCAAGTAGAACACACTTATGACAAAGTGATTGTTTTTATATAACCAACACTGTGTTTAGCATAAAGTTATATTTAAATGTAAACAGAACTGTAGTAACAACCTGACAAAAAAGACTTATTTAAGTAGCTGTGTTATGAATTGTGTCTAATGTCAGGTTCCTTTTAACGACTCAAAGTAGAAGTTCTCTGGACTTGCTTCGCTGGTCCATGAGTAAACATGTTTTAGTTTGTCTGAAAAATAATTTGGTGAACACGTGTTCTTCAGGTATCTCGAAAATCACCGTAACGAATAGAGATAGAAATAAAAATCCATCTCAAATTGAAAGACACTGGACAATTTTTACCTACATCGACACAACCGAGTGTGAATAAAAAAAAAATGCAAAGGAATTCCTCTTCGAGTTAACTGATAATGTAGGCAACAAGGTAGGAAATAAGTGCGACAAAATGTGGATAAAATAGCGCGTGAAAATAACAAGTGAAGTTTGGTATTATTATGCAACAAGGGAAAATAGAATAAATTCTCCAATCGTGGACATTTTAATAAAATCTTTTTCGGTTGAATGAAGCATGTGAAGAGAGCGAGCCAGACATGGAGAGTTTTCCGAAATTATTCACACGATCACCTGCAATGTTTTCTACATTCGTTCATTCATTCATTCATTCATCCATTCATCCATTCATCCATTCATCCATTCATCCATTCATCCATTCATCCATCCATTCATTCATTCATCCATCCATTCATTCATTCATTCATTCATTCATTCATTCATTCATTCTCTTACTGAAAATTATAAACCTTGTGCAAGTCAAACTGGGCCATGGCCAAAAATATTATGACAAAGGCAATGTCTATTGTTAAATTCTCATCCTAGGTATATAGTTTTTATGATGAGTATAAAGAACAAAAAACGAAAATAAATTACTTAGGCAATTAGCTCGGTTTGCCTGTTACAGGTTACGGCAATGCAAAATGAAACAAGAGTTTACTTTACGCAAATGTCATCATCAAGACTTATGAATTCGTTGCTAAGAGCTAAATTATAAATGAGGACAGGACCCAAATATAAGTACAGAACAATGTTTCTGGAGTGCTAAGTTTAATTTTCTGCTGAAATTAAAATCTGTTCTTTCGATTTCGTGTTTGTTTTGTTGCTGTTTTTGTTCATCCTGTTGCCTGAATTTGTTGACATTTAGGTAATAAGGAAGAATTGCGCATATCTTCTCCTGCATCGTGTTCTAAAACCGAGGTCCCCACAAATTTGCCAACACACTTGTCATTGTTGACACCAAAATGTATTCACTTACATGTAAAGCTATGGTAACCTATTATGCCATGAAGATGACCATAATTTGTTCACGATTGGGCATTTATATGAAATCAACAATGTACAGTTTTGCAATGTTAAACGTTGTCCTTTTCAGCCTTCTCAGGAAATGACTTCTATTGCATTTTCTGTTAACTGTTTCTCCGAAACTTCGGGAAAACGAGAAAATGTCTCATATTTGTAAGCAACCTCCAAGCATTGCACATTAATGGGTGATAGCGCATGATAGCTCAGTCAATAATAGTTTAAAGATTTTAGCATTTCCTTTATGGTACACTGTACAAGTTAAATTCAATTAAAGATGGATGGAAACGAAACTCACAAGAGAAAATGAATGAACTAAAACCAACACATGTTTTGATCTGTTACTTTTATTCTCTAGTTAATTTCATATACTTTTACAAGAATAAACCCAAATTTATTAAGGTAGTCACGCGTTTTTTGTCATCTATTCCTGACCTGCAACCAAACATAGAAAAAAATGAGTTTCAGCTAGTACCTTATTTAAGTTACGGGCGGTCAATATACACACGAATTCATCCGTACAACTACATCATTGTATTTTCATACTGTTTTCAAAGTACATACAAACGGTATTTAAAACATTTTTCAGTTTCCATGTAACCGATGACTGTTTGATGCGTGGAAGCATGTTATATGCGCATGTATGCTCATGTTTTGGCTTATAGTAAACGATCTGACTTAGGTTTTATGGAATTGTTCTACTACTGGTAATGAACACCTCCCCACGGCAATCTTTCTTACGATTAGTCATTCTCGTACCCAGAGACCTCGCTCCTTTTGGTCAGCACCAAGAATCACGAACGTCACCGAATGTCTGCGATTTACGAACTTCCCATCAAATCTGACCAATCTCATTAGTTGAGAAAATGAAACGAATACTCTGCCCATGCTAAGAAAATCGGGTGTAGCCAGATGTCGCAATTCTTAGTACTGACCAAAATGAGCGCGACCTCTAGGGACGAGAATAACGATTAGTTCATTTTTCTATTACTAATATCTGCAGAACTTACAGTTGAAACATGTCTTCTCGCACCAATACTTCATGTTATCAGGGTACGTATCACAATAACCAGCATCCTTATACGGTTGGCATGGAGTACTCGACCTGTCTTCACAATTTTCTATAGTGTCAAGAAAGTACTGCCATATTAATGGCTGTTGCAAAAGTTGTACCCTCTAGAATTTAGGAAATTTCTTATCGAGCCATTCCTCCCTACCATCTCTGTGTTTTTAATGCCTTAAACAAGCTGACAGAGGCTTAAGGTCACTATAGCTTGGTCTGCAAGATTAGGTGGGTAATTGGTTATGGCGCAAAAAGCAAAGGTAAATTTAAATGAATTATTATGATTTTCCCATGGCGTGAATAAATAGAACTTGTAAAAGCTTACGCCAAAACATCAAAGCAAATGCTGCAAAATTGACGTACATTAGAACACGCAGATTTCTCCCCCATTGAAAGAGAGTATCCGGAAATGTTAAAGAAGATAACATTAAAGAGTGTCGGACAGCAGATGGTGAAACTAGAAGAAGTCTAGAAAAGTATACACTTCTCTAGATACGCAACCCTTGCACCACTCGAGCACCACATTTATTGGTAAACACTACCCTATCGTGACACTCTTCCCTGTTGTCTGCATATGTACATGTAGAAGACTAACCGGGAACTGTAGGGGCTGGAGTTTGGTCGCTACCACCGCCGCCACCGCCACCAGAGTTAGCACCTGATAGAAGAGGAAACAATTAAGACCCCTGGAACAATCTCTCTTCTCCGACCATCAACTAAACTATAAAGCTGTAGAGTAAAGACTTGAGATTGATTATCGCCGATACGTACACGACTTAGGTAGCTGTAAAAAAAATTAAACCTTTTTTGTTGCTGTTTTCAAGCTTTCAACTTGCTAGTTCTAGCTAAGTGCACCGTCGACTATAAACATTCAACAGCAACTGTGATTATCATTCACTGAAATGTATTCACAATATATTCCACAATATTCACTTGCAAAGCTGCAAATGCAAAGGTGTAAAATTAAGGTACATTATTGTCGTCCTTGTTAGCATTTCAAAAGCGCTGTTATCCCCATTTATCCCGGGTTTTTTTCTTTGTCATGTATCAATCCTTACGTGACAGAACGGGAAAATGTTCACATCTTTTAGTATGTCTGCCATTTTTGGTCCTCCAACTTGGTTAGAACACGTAGTGCTCCAAAACTGCATCCAAAACTCAGGAATATAGTAACATAAGAATACAAGAAATGTAAAGAATTTGTTGGAAAGTCTAAATTCGAAATGAGACAAATTTAAGACTTGTTTAAGATTAAAAGCACACACCAAATTTAGGTGAAAACCATAGTTAATAGAGGGGGATGGTTATGAAGCCCGGCAAACATCAAGGGAGCAAACAAAGATGTCAAGATTTATGTTGGAAGGTCCACGACCGTGCACAATCTTTTGCTTTGCACTCATACACTTTGCATGAATTACATAACCAAAACGTTTCTATTGGTTAGTTCCTCGGTCAGTAGTAAGCAAACTATTGTGTTTTGTGCACGGTCAAGGCCAAGAAAGAGAGCAACAACATACAACAAAGAACTTTGTCGAGTTTCATAACCATTCCCCTCTATCAGCTATGGTAAAACAGTATGAAAACGTGTTTGCCATAGAAATGTAACCAACAAAGCGCATTACCAAAACTCTTGTCAGCGCGTTTTTGCCTATCCATTCTATGCCATCGAGTACTGCCCTAAAGTTTATCACAGGTTTTCTTGAGTTCTCTTACCATACAAATATTGAATACCAGCAATGTCATCAGAGTGGAGCTTCATGTCGGGGACGTAACCCGTGTAGTAAGGAAACATAATTGCCCCCTGGATGTTAGTATGTTGCAGGCCCAAGGAATGTCCAAATTCGTGCACAGCCACCCATAAAAGATTGACGCCACGGCTAGTTCCGTGGGTGAAGGATTCATCCTCGTCAAAATGAGCTCGCCCGTCTTGAGGGAAATACGCATGCGCCAGAACACCACCGCGGCCGTCGAATGGATACGGGCATGTCCCTTCCACATTGGTGCCACGGTGACTGTTTCTCCCAAAGCTAATGAAAGAAAATGTGTACTCATAATAAACCTTTATGGTTACAACCAATCATTATTTTGGCTATTTTAATTGTTCAAACTTATTAACCTACGGGTCAGTTGCTGCTGCTGCATTTTTTACTTTTTAATTCCGTCTTTCCAGTTTTTTCCTATTGCATTGTTTTAAGGTAATAATAATAATAATAATAATAATAATTAACATGAAAAATGGCATCTTATAAGGGTGTTGCCTTAACTACTTAACAACCGAGAGTGAGGTCGTTACGGGAAAATCTCAAACTGAGGCCTTACCGTATTGACTGAGCGATAGGCGGAGGTTTGAGATTTTCCCGTAACGACCGAACGGTCGAGGTTATTAAGTTGTTTATTATATGGCTCATGAATTAAAGAAAAGAAAAAAATATTTCCAGCAGAAGTCGTCAATTCACATCCGTCGATGCACGAGATTACCGATTCATTCATCGTCTCAAACCCAGGGCAAAACTACACAGTCAGTGAACTTCGACACTGTATTACATATTCCGTTAAAAACACCTGAAAACACACATTTCTTTACGGGAAAAATAATTGTCACAGTCTCAAAATGGTATTTTAGTATAGTGGTGCCACAACTTGATGGGGAAGTTTTTCCGACTTTTGTGTCGAAACGTGAACGCATATAGAAAAGACAGAAAGTGCTTCAAAATAGTCCAAGCAAACGGTCTTTCGGGGAAATAAAATATTAATGCTTCATAATGCACTGTTCAGAATAACTCTAACTTCGCATTCGCTCTCGACAACGTAGCTTCGCCTTCTTCATTCTGGGATTTATGGATGAACCTTTGAAGCCTTGTGAACGTTTAAAACTACCTGTAGTTATCAGAACCACTGCTGCCGACAGAAACCGCCCGATTGTTTACATCTGATGATCCTGGAAGCTGATTTACATTTAATTGTGTTAAAGCGAAGGAATCCGTTTGATGAGAACTGTGACGGAGTTCAATATTTCGGTAATTGTTGTAAAAGTTTCGTCGTGTGTTCTGCTTAGGATGCATGACAGATCTGCCGATGGTGTTTTTCACTTAGCGATTTTAGCTTTACTTAAGATTCGGCAAATTTTGATTGTTTTTCACTATTGCCCGCCAAGGTTACCAGCTGGTAAGTCAAAAACGACTTCTATATAAATTTTATTAAGGAAAAATCTCTAAACTTTTAGCTAATCGGAATTAAATTTACTTTATCTTACTGTTTTTAATCGGCTTTCATCGTTTCAATGCGCTTGAATTTTCGGTGCCGAGCTCTTCCTAATTTGCATAATCCGCAATCGGCAAGTGGGCATTACGGCTGCATAATGACAGCTCAGATCTCGCTCTTAGCCAATCAGTGCGCGTTATATCGGCCACAAGCCAAAGCCATGTGATAATAAATTCTTCATGATCTGCAGCGCTTTACAGTAAAACCAAAAATAACTTTTATTACTATATATGTAATTGGATTATAAGCTTTAGTAGCTCGCAGCTAGCAAAGCTATTGTGGGCGAGCTGCTATTACTTTAACAGCATTATCTGGTTTATTTAAAATAGAGAACAGAAATAAAGGAAATTAAACTAATTTGAGTAGATAAAAAAATAAACTAAAATATCATACATAATTCATAATACAGGAGAGCAAGTTAACAGCAACAATCACGGACAACGAAATAGGAAAGAAAACCCTATACTAACACTAATTAAAGAGCGAGTACTGATTAAAGTAGTGGTTAAAGAGCGAGTGCTAATTAAAGATTGAGAGATACTCGTAGATATCAATATAACGTATGTACTGTATAGTGTAGGTAGCATTACATTACCCTTAAGCTCTTGCCTTAGATGCCATGGATGTAAGTTGTAGTAAAGCTACTTATTCTTATTATCGGAACAAGTGAAAAAAAAATACGGCGGCTTGATGATTGGAATGTACATGTATGGCGCATTACTCTAAGATATACGGTCTGTCAGTTTCAGTAAGATACCTTGGAAAGTCTCTTCTCAAAGTCATTAATAATTCATCAAGTTTAAGAAAAGTAAGTCATGACCGTGGCGGTTTTTGGATATTTGATCTTAATTAGCATAGATTTTTACGATTTTATTTCTCCGTTTTCTCCTTAGCTTTAGTTTTGATTGAGAAGATATATCATGCACTCAAGACAGTGTTTGACCACATTTCCAAACACCTCGAACTACGTCAAAAATACAACTCTGCGCGTCGTATTCTCAACTCTCTTCTCGGTGTTTGGAAATGTGATCAAACACGGCCTTTCGTGTTCGATATATTACATTAAAGTTTTAAATCAATTATGGGACCTTTGTTTCCTCATCCAACTAATAAGGCCTTTTCATCCCAGAGTTTATTTCCCCTAATTGAAACACTACTTATTTCCCCTGTTTACTACCAGAATGCCAGAATTACCTTATTTTCATGTCTGCCTCACTTGCGCTGCCGACTTCAGAAAATGTCAACCCCGACACGTCGGCCCAGAACTGCAGTGCCTGAGCAAATATCCCTCTTTGCTCATCCTATTAATAATTTAAACACAATGAAGTGACGAATTGGTTGTTTTTGAGAACATTTCTCTATTTAGTATGGGCAATGATGTTCGTGAGTGTTTGGTGTTAGGTGGTAGGGAAAGGTGAGGGATATTTTAAACCATTTACTCGGTAATGCTCATACTGTTAAGTATACGTAAAGCATCCAAAACAGTATAGAAGTGTACTTAAAGGAGCGCAGTCACTTTGGCCACGTATAAAATTATCTTTAATTTGGAGGAAACCGGAAAATAGTAGTTTATTAAGATAGAAAAGCACCAGAGAGACAATGATAAACCATAAAGGAAAAGGGTTAGCTATTAAGGATGGAGAAGTTAAACACAACTTACAAACGGCAAACTTGAAAAAGATAATCCAAACGTTCAAGATGTGCAAACCATTACGTAGCGCTTTTAAGTGATAACCACGTAAAAATGATGACTTCATATCATACTTAAATAGTCACATTTTCAAAATGCCTATCTTAGCTTATTAGGTCCGCCATACAGTTTTTTTTTTTTTGACCCAATCTTTTAGAAAAGTCAGAAAAAAAAAACCAAAACGGATGCAAATTACAATTCATAGATGATATCAAAAAGCAACTTTTTATGAAACACCGAAATTTAAGCAAAGCATCATTTGAAAATATCGTTCCTATAGAAACGTTACGTCGCATGGTCAAACAATCAAAAAACTAAAATGTCTCCTGGTAAGTTGTAGAAAATGCTAACAATTTTGAACACTGAATTTTAAAAGCTGTCTAAGCTTTTTGGTTATCCTCACTTAAGACTTAAGTGAGGATAACCAAAAAGACCCTTAACACCAAATTGTACTCACATGTGGGAGATCCTGGCCAGGTTGGACGTAATATTTCAAGTCAGTCTTTTTCCATTTCCCAAGAGTGGCATATCTTCGCAAGCGACTTCCTGGAGTTGGATCACTCATACCACACCGAGGCTTCTTCATGAGGCGGACAGTTGAGGCATCCAGTCTGCCAGTCACCTGGAGACCATAGAAATCTTGGAATTGTCGGATGGCCGTACCAACGTCGTGGTTACCACTGCGAGTGTTTGATATGTACCCGTATCGGTTCAGGAAGTGCTAAAAGAATAATTATCAGCGATATTTCAGTAACGTTAAATTAATCATTAACTAGCACAATCGACAAGCGAAGCTGAATTGTTCAGGTGTCTGCTGTGTGTATACACCACCAAACAATAACTAAATAGCTGGTAAAATAGATTTGCTGTTTTGGGGGATGAAAAGATCATGAAAACCGAAGACTGCAGAAGACTGTATTAGATTGATGAATCATAATCCTAGTAAAGGTATAGCTGTGTGGATGTTAGGAGGCAGTGATATTTAAAATAAAACGGCAAACATTTCTTAGCGGCAAAAAGGTCAATGAGCGCGTACATTTTATTGGCAAAATTTGTCGTTTTTAACCCGCATCACCCAAAGTATTCAATGCGTGTACATTGGTCTGAAATTCATTCAGACAGTTTATTGTGCCAAGTTCTTTCAATATTCTTTTCTTTAATTTACTATTGTTTTTTACCATTATTTTGTTTCAATTTTTAAAGTGTTGAGGTCATCGCTTTCTTTTCTTCCTAATGAGGCGAATATTTTGAAGAAAGACAAACCTATTCTGTTTGGGCCGTACGGCAGTGTTCACGATAACGCCCTTGAACGCCCATGTAAAAATAATGAACACGAGTTGACGAGCACAAAAATTTAAGCTAGGATACTGCTCGACTACAACTGCAACAAAGACGCAATAAAATTTAAATAACTTTTACCTTTCTAAATTTTTTCTATGATTTTATTTTCGTTTTACTGATCAGTATTCTTAATCTAATTAGAGGAATTTGAAACCAGCTCCAATTGCGTATTAGTGAACATTTTAATTTTGGAATTGCCTTTTGTAACACACTGCGTGTCACGAGCCTCAAGGAACAATCATTTTTTCTGTAAAAAAAAAAGTTTTGCTGAGCCCAAAGTACCTAGATTAATCGTTGGCTAGAGCAATAATTTGGAATATAGTACTTACCAAGGCCATAGTTTCGTCATCTTCGCACACCGTAACCCCAATGAAGAAAGGAAGGAGAAGCACAGCAACCAACATTTTCACGCTGATTACTTTATAGAAAGCTTCGATTTGAAGTGAGCATCCTGACGACTGGCTTACTTATTTTATAGCGATAACTTCGACAAATGGCAAGCTTCTTTCTTTTAGAGCTGTCCTTAATAGGGTCAATTATTTCCATTGTATTTTCATTGTATATTGTAGATACATACTTAAAGTAAATCTTTCATAACACATCAGTTAAATACTGGTATCTTAATTTGCTCATGGACCAGCTAAGCAAGTACAGTGTACTAGTACTTTAGGAAGCCAAAAAGGAACCCCGTATTAGAAAATATCTGACTACAGCTACTTAAATAAGTCTTTTGTGGTACACTTTTTTTCTAGGGTACATATGTCTACAGTTCTGTTTGCATTCAATTTTACACTAGAGACAATATTTCTAATGTGAAAACTGTCGCTTTAGCCTAAGTATATTCACCTTGCTCTTGCAAATGTTCGCGGGTTATTTTTTTGCCCTTCACCTCGCTTTTCTTTAAACAATGCTACTATAATGGAACAATTAGTATTTATATTTCAAGCTAGACTTCATTTTCCTTTCAATAAACGTACGTTTTGGTGCGTCTCACGTACTCCTAAATTCAGCTCGACTTATAACTGACATGTTTAGTTCTTAATATCGTTAATGCTGGCAAAAGTTTCAGCGTTAATTTATAATTTCACACGAGTTTACAAAATTACCGTGCCAACGTTTAGAGAGAATATTTCTCGATACAATAAACAAGTCAAAACCCTACGATTGTAATCGTAATTTGTTACCTATGATTTTAGAAGGTAATTAAGAAATAATTTCATTTGCGTTTTATCAAATTCTAAGCTTTATTAGAAACTTAACAAAACGTGCGTAAGATTATTTCCTATTTTCACTGGTCACCATTTGATTACCCATACTTGTACAAGGGAATGCTATTTAATATTTTATCTTTGAGCTTGTAGGTAGAATCTTTTCACATAAGAGAGCACCACAGTTTTGTGCCCAACTTAAGCATGCAGTTGCGAAAACCCACTTTTCCATCAGTACCCGCACTTTAAAGGATAGCCCTGTTTGAGTCTGAAATGGTTTTTGAGCTTTTGCTTTCAAAGTTACGAGTTCAAACTAATTTGATGATCTGCATGACAGCTTGCCATTTAATAAAAATAAAACGAAGTGTGCGAAGTGTCGCTTCAGTTAGTGATACATTTCGACCGCCTATGAGTCTGAATTGATCTCAAACAGTCTACAAATTGCTTCTTGGCTTATAGTTATCAGCAGTTTGAGTTCATCTACATTAAACTGATGACTTTCTTGACAATTGTACGGTACTAAAGTAATACGAAGTGTCTTTTAGTTATACAGTTCTAATAGCCTGTAACTCTGAGGTGATTTCTTACAGTTTGCACCTGCTGCTTGCTTAGACAATGCTTTCAAAAGGTACGAGTTCAAACGCCAGCTAATGATTGTCTTCACAGTTTTGCCATCCGAAAAAGAATACAAAAAGTGTTTTATAGGTCTACAGTTTAACTCGCCTGTAACTCGGAGGTTTTATTTTAGGTTTACACTGAGAGTTTGAATAATGCTTTCATAGCTCAAATTCATGCCTCAGTTAATCTCCCTCTTGATAGTCACCATTTAAAAAAAAAGGGGGGGGAGGGATATGTACTTTTCTAGTCACCAACAAGTGTTGCGAGATTTCTAAAGGTCTACAAACAGTAATGCTTTTATAGTCATTCAAACGCTATTCAATAACCGTCGGGCCCGTTTCTCGATCGAAAGCCCTTGAGACTTTGCGGGCCCGCTAAGCCATAATAGATTATCTGTATCTAAAAACCGAGAGTTTTATACCCCTGAAACTCCCTGTTTGAAGAGAACCTCTGTTCATATTAAGAATATGCGAATAAAGCAGCTCTGTAATCACACGGTTTGGGATTTTGTTACGGCTTTCCTGGTGCGAAAAGTTTTTGGTTCGTTCGAGAAACCGGGCCCTGGAAATTTGCTTTTTGAAAAGAATGTTCTTTATTTCTAATTTTCTAGTCGCCCATAAATCGGACGTGATTTCTAAAAGTCCACAAATAGCCACTGGGTAATGTTTCATAGTTATTCAAATTAAACGCCATTCAATGACCGTCTTGACGGTTCTTCATCTTAAAATAGTTTACAACTGCTGCGTGGTTAGCGCTTTCATGGTAACCAATTCAAACACGTTCTTGACATTTTGGCATACTAGAGTAAAAACGAAGTTTGTTCACCTTTCTTGTTAAAATGCTCTTGCGTTACTTGATATCGTCCTCCTTGCTTTTCATCAGACTTAGCTGTCACTGTCTTCAAGTACAGAAAATTTTGTAACAATTTATTATAGATGTTATTTACTCTGTGTCATCCAATACAGTATATTTATAGCAGGTATTAATGGTTCTATAATTCATCGTTCGAAATCTCCTTGTGGAAAAAAAAAATCCTCAAAAAAAGGGGGAATGATGGACCCTCCAACTTTTGTTGAATGCGTGACTGTTTTCTCGTGAAGTTCCAATCGAGAAAAAAAACGTGAAGATGTTTAAGAAAAAAATTCATAAAGAATTCACCTAAAACTGTATTATGGAACATAATAAGACGCTTTCAACCGTCTGGAAATGGTCAATCTTCAAATAACACTGGAAGCAACTCTAAAACTTTCAACGGTGCCATTGTAGAATGTAGAAAAGGTACGCTCCTTTTATTTTCAAAGTTATTTGTGTTTTTCTAAAGGTGCAAACTGTTTCAATGCAAATGAATAGAATTTGGTCAATTTACAATTTTATTTAATTTAGACAAAACTGGTTTTGTCTTTCTTTTTTTTTTGGCGAATTTTCCGAAATTCTACATTTTACGAGAGTTAGAATGTTATAGTCTACGAAAACTCCCTAAAATTGTTCCTCAAGCAAAGTAAAATAAATTTCGATTTTTCAAGCTAGCGAACGAACCTCGAAGCTTTGACCTGTTACGTGGAGCCCGCCCAGTTTCAGACATTTTTGTAACTTTTCGGGCAAAGCGCTGATGATTAGGGCAAAAGCACTCGGGAGAAAACATTCTAAAGGGTTGTCAAGGCCAGACTTGTAGGCGACTTTCGCTGACGTTTGCCTGGTCAGATGATGTAAGGATCCAGGTATTCTGTTTTAGGAAAGCCATATATCGTTAAATGTGTATCGTGAAAATCCACCAGATTGATATTATTTTCATCAACAAAACAATGACAAAAACAACCAACCAAGACTTTTGTTTTTATGGTGGCTCTAAAAAGAGCCGTTTTGAATGGCTCCACAAAGAGCCGTTAAAATTTTCTTGAACTTCGCGTACGAGAAAGAATTAAATGTTTCTTTTATAAGTATCTGATTTTGCTAGGCTGTCGATCAAAGTCATAGAAGATGCGAGGTTTCAAAATAACCAATTTTGCAATGATGACAGTTTCATTAGACGTAAGAATTAAGAAAGTTTTTGTGTTCACTGCGATTTGAGTGCGTTTGAACTACACTCATACTTACGCAACAGTGTAATTTCTTTCGGGCAATAAGGTCGCCCCCACCCCCTCCCCTCCTCCTTGAAAGTTCCGTGCTTTAGGTCAGTAATTTACCAAGGACTTCTTCAATCAGATTTAAAGGAGACAACTTTAAAATATCGTTGCAAACGTTTATTCTTTCATTCATTCGTTGATTTATTTTATCAGCAGTCATTTAAAACTCATTTGAATTTACGCTTGACGAGTGGATCTTGACCTATCTTGAAAGCCACTATCAACCTAAAACAAAACAACACATATAGAATACTATGTAAATATAGTACTCTGGATCACAGCTAAAATTACTTAAGGTCCATAAAATATTTTAAGGATAAAACGTTTCAATTTCTCTTAGTGCGTACCATAGGGTTACGCGTACAATTCAACTATTTGTCCGAGTCTTAATGCTATAAGAAGAACTTTAGGAACAATTTTGATTGTTAGAGAACAACGCAATAAATGCATAACATGCCACATACCGTATAACGACCTGATCCCGGCAATATCGTCCCTGTGTAATTTGGGCGTGCCTCGACTAGCTGTCGGCCTCATAACTGTGCCCTTAACGTTAGAGTGCCGAAGTACCAAAGCATGGCCAATCTCATGGACGGCAACATGAATCAGGCTATTTGATCCACTCAAAAATGAACCAGTCTCTGAAAACTTATCGTCGTCCTCAAAATGCAGTCGTTCATCTTGTGGGTAGAACGCGTGAGCAAGGACTTTGCCTTTATCGTCAAACTTTGAATAGCATCTCCCTTCACCAGGTACACCAGAGTGACTTCCTTAGCCTAAACTGCAGGAGTAATCAATACATTTTCTTGGTTGTGTTTGGCGTAAGCTTCATGGCTTTTTTCAAAGATAAAATGTGAAAAAATATATGTTTCCTAACTGAAATAAATATAAAAGTGTGTTTTTCAACACCTTATTTTAAAGTCAGCTTGGAAAACCGTGTATGCTCTGGAAAACTTCAGTTTTGGTGCCACATCACTCCACATTTTAAAAGCGTTTGCCATGATTCTGGACTGATCACCGCGTGACAAATCTTCTCCATACGTCATGTAGTATTTGAAATTTGTCTTGTATCATTTCGAAAGCGTGGAGTATCTCTTCACGCGCATACGATCGCCATTTTCGTCAACATCCGGGACTCCATCGTGGTTTCTTCATTTCTTCTAGAGTTTCGTCGTCCAGTTCTCCAGTCACAGGCAGACCGAAGAATTTTTGAAATTTCTTGATTGCGAGAGGTAGTGGTAATCTGAGAGATATTTCTGAGGGAGAAAATTTATCATGAGAAATAAGTTAATAAAATACAAGTACCGGTAAGTTGTTTTCACGCTGTGAACGCCTAATTAATAAGAATTACTAAATGCTATAACTTTTAAAAGGAAAATGATGGTTTAGAATATTTTTATCTGAGAGGGAACAAACCAACATATGAAACTCTGAAATCTTTCAAACTGTTTGCAAGTTAATGTCGAGGTTATTTCACTGTTGCCTGTAAATTTAGCCTTACCAAAGCAAAAACTTCATTGTTTTTCCCCCTCACACAAAGCACCGTGGAAAGC